GCGCCATTAAAATATAATAATAAAATTGTAGTCAGTTTTTTTAATTTTTTAAAATAATTAGTTTTAATTCCCTTTGAATGAAGGTACAGAATTTTTTTAAAAACTTAATTAGCACATTTAACTCTCATTTATTATTAACAAAACTAGCTGGAGAGAATTTTTTTTAAAACAAATTACACCTTGGCCAGACGTGTGTCACTCATAGCCGCATATGTAGAATATTAATTGTTTATTACTTATTAATACTTGTATTATGTTACGCTTCATGATATATGCAAGAAGCAACCAAGGTCTACAATCTCAAATATCTTCATTAACATGACAATAAACGCAAATTTCAGTTTGTTTGTTGTTTGTTGTTGTTGTTGTTGTTGTTTTTGCATTTATCTCCCTTGCTTTCGTTTCGTTATGTATGACTGTCCGTTTACATCATCACTATGAAGACGTTTAACGATGTTATTTTGTTTTGTTTTACATGTTTCGGATGTTCCTTCAGAGTTGAAGATAATTACTTCCTAGTCCTAACCTCCCGCAGGACGACAGGGGATTGGAGCGAGCAGGGTTTGAACCCGGGACCATCGATAAATCTGAACGACAGTCCAGCGCGCAAACCACACGACCAGGCAGCCATCATTTCATTGGTTACTTTTGATCACGCGATGATAATGGCGTCTTCTTTGTCTACAGGAAGCGGAAGCTCGCTGCATAGAAGACTTGTGCAACCAGATTAACAAAAAGTTGGATCCACGAGCGGCTCTCGACCTTGGAGCGAGAAGAGAAATTCCACCACCTTTTACATTTCCGGAAAAACGTGTGAAGGAATTCTGGGTAAGTTAACACTGACCAATGATTCTTAAGGCTTAAAAATATTAGTTCATATTTCGATAAACAATGCTAGGACAAATGTATACAAATACTACTTCTTTCCTGGTGCTATTAGAGCATGGAATGGGTTGCCTGAGCCAGGAAACCGACGACTTAGCAGAGTATAAGTCGTTAGTTAACATGCATGACTAGATTTACCTAGGAACATGCGTAGGAGGTAATCATCATCTTTTTTTGAAGTCACGTCTGTATTTTATAATATAAGATAAGGAGAGTTTTTTTCGGAACATATTGATCCATAGAACACTAGAAATAGTTGCTAATATTGGATAGCCAATGTTAACGAGGCTAGTATGTGGCTAGTTAAGCCGCCAAACACATAAATTGTCTCAAGTATATTTTCAGGTACTACCCAGCCCGGGTACGCTGTTCTGCCTCATTGTGGCATCCGGGTGGAAACGACCATTAGAGGAAGTGGTTAGGCTAAATGAATGGCGAAACAAAACCCCCAGTGAGAGTGTCCCAGGGTAGGCGAGAGCTTACCTATTGCACGGCGCGGGGTTGAAAGAGAGCTCTCATGGTCCAGTTGATAATCCATGCACCGTTCCTAAAGGGACAGTTTACACTAATAGCGAGTCCTTCGCGGTTAGCTTGGTACAACATAGGAAAATGGCGGAGGTTCCCGGTGCACTCGGCCTTCGGCCATGTCTAGCCCATGCGCTCGGGGACCAGATGCATCGGAAATAGCAGTGCTTTACATAGGCATTGGCTTGGGTCTCTTCCAGACAGAACAGTGTGCTCACACAGGTTGTTTTTTTTTTTTACTGTTTGACGCTCAAACAGGGTTTTTTTTTCAAACTTAGAGCTCGAAGAGCCTTCGGCTCAGCTCTTAGACGATCAAACAGTACTACCCAGACAGTGTTGATTAGGAAAAGAATCAAACTGGCAACATGACCTATACCAGCTGCTTAGTTTTATCTTATCCATAATCTTCAAGTACAAAAACAAAATCTAATAAAATACTCTGAAAGACACAAAAATAAAGGCACATTCCTCGTTCCATATGTTAGGACAATGTTGTACAAATGCTCCTTCTTCCCTTGTGCTATTAGAGCATGGAATGGGTTGCCTGAGCCAGCCAGGAAAACCAGTGTCTTGGCAGAATTTAAGTCACTGGTTAATATGCATGACTAGATGCATGACACGTAGGACTTAATCATCTTCTTTTTTGAATTAACGTCTGTATTATATAAGATAAGATAATAAGATTACTTGTAAATTTAATATCATTTCCTGTATTTTCGTATGTTTAATATTTAAATTTCATAATAAATTATCTTTGAACTTCGCAGAACCCTCTTTAAGGGAATCAAACAACCCCCTTATTATCTATTTTACCATATATTGCTTTGGGGCTAAAAAAAAAGATTCACCAATGGACCTCATTCACCAATCGTAAATAAACACATTTAGCCACGTCATAATATTGATAAAACAATGAAAAATACGTATCACGTGACAGCCACTATGGATTACATAATTTGTATAGAAGATATATAGAATCACGTGGCTAAATGTTGTTTGTTTACGATTGGTGAATGAGGTCCATTCAATTCGTATTGTTTAGATTTTTCTAAAGTCACTAATGAACGCGTAATCTGGATTTCTGGGTACAGACTGTAAAAATAGCCACCAAACCAAACTTTGACTATTCTAAGCTAAGTCAATAGACAAGCTTTTATGACACCTAAAGACAATTAGACTAGAAAGAAAAATTATCATATACACTTGATGTCACTAATCGATTGTTTGTACCTAGTCCAGCGATTATACATGGCGTTCCTCCATAGGAAATGATGAAAGAATGACCATACATTATAACATACTCCCACGATTTCATTGATAAATGGAGTTGTCACCCTTACAAACTTTTTTAATTCTAGTCTTGAATGACTTCCCTTTGCACCGTGGGCGCAGCAACCTACTAGAGCAGTGGCTCTCAAACTGTTGTCTGGGGACCACCAAAGGTCGTGAGACGACCATATGAGGTCCGCAGAAACATTAAGGTTGTATACAATTAAAATAGCTTCTTCGCTTAAAACAAGTTTATCCGATTGGATAATTTTAATAATAATCCACTCGCCCCTCACTGCTGTTTGATATGTCTATTACATACTATTCTTTAACGACCTAATGTATATACTGGGCATTTATATAGTTTGTTCACTTAGGGGTCCGTGCACAAGATTTGACTATGTAAAGGGGTACGCTTGTCAAAAAAGTTTGACAACCTCTGTACTAGAGTTTTTTGGAGATCAATTTTACACAAGCATTCTCAGAGCATCTCTCTATCTTGGGAAAAACATTACTGGTGTTGTAACACAATTACTATACGGATGTGTGGCCAACCGTGACACACGGTCAAGAGTGGTGTACCTGGACAGTTAGTGGACTGGAGAGCCAGTCACGAGTGTGTGTTGTCAACAATGAGAAGGAAAAACATCTAGCGGATTCGTTTGTGTTGAATGTTAACCTTATGTACATATATTACTATCAAATTTTTTTGTGAGAAAATGGAACTATTAACTTGTATTACCACAGCTGGTTTAAGAAAAAGTCTTATTGCAAATCATAAACGGTGAAGGGCTGGCGGCATACAATTAGTTTTTAGTTCAACGTGTAAAATTGTTATATAATATGTCTTGATGAAAAACAAATTCACACTGGAATGGTTTAAATATTTCTTTGATAATCATGCATAGAAGAATTTAAATTTCGAACAAGAATTCCATATATATAATTGGCTTTAATTATTTTGGTATTGTGTCTAGTAATAATATCTGTCAAAGTCAAGGATGTTTTAATTGATCGAACAAGGTTACTTTTTGAGAAACCACAGTAATTTTCCAATAGTAAAAAAAAAATAGCCAAAGGAGTTTAAAGTAGGGTTGTGGTTCTTTATTTTATGTTGGGAAAGCTAATTTTAGAAAGGGTTTATATACAAGGGAAGACAATGTGCAGGGTCAGTCAATAGGTTTTAAGCTGTATGTTAAGTCTACTTTTGTGAATGTAGAATTAATAAAGTTTGTTTTATTATCTTTCAATTAAAATGTTTTTTTTCTTTCTATTAAATTAACAGGAAGGGCCTGCCCCTGCAGATATCAACCATTAGAGGTCAATGTCGCAGAAGTGCAGCTCGAGAGTGTCGTTTACGACTTCATCAACGTGTGACGTCACGTCTAGTTTAGACATCTAAATACATTATCACCATTCCTTTACCTGACAGCATCATCCCAACAGAGACCATCGCCAGAATGACATAAGATTTATCACAACAATGACCTAAGATTTACCACGATAATAACCTAATATTTATCACGACAAGGACCTAAGATTCATCAACACAACAATCTAAGATTCACCAAGACATTGACCTAATAGTCGTCATGACAATGACCTAGGTTTCATCACGCGCATGACCTAAAATTTATCAGGACAATGACCTAAGATTCATCAGGACAATAACCTAAAACGCATGACGCCAATGATCTAAGATTCATTACGACAATGACCTAAAATGCATGACGACAATGACCTAAGACTCGCTATGAGCTTCAGCTGACGATAAATATAATGACAGTGTGACAGTTATCTACTTACCGCAATCAATACCTCGACAACGTGTGACATTTATCTCTGTATCGTCTGCTAGTTCCTTAATATGTCCATATATATACCAATTCATACAGCAGGAAAAAAACCCAGACTCAATTTAAATAGCTTCAACTTTATTGTTAAGCGACATACAGCAACTAACAGCACATAACTCAATTGTCAAATAGAAGTCTTTATACAGATTCTAGTTCTACACGCCACTACAGTCCTCTGCAAACACTCCCACAAAGCTAGCTTAGCAATTTATATTAGTCCAACCAGTTGGAATGTCAACAGTGCTCTACCCTTACAGGTAAAGGGACACAAAAAAATAGCGATCTGTTTTTCCCAATTAAGTTATCTTCTCACAGTTTTTTTTTAGTGCTCTCAAAAGCTAGTAAGACAGTCATTTCAATTGATACTGACATCACTGTCACTTCATACTGTAACAAAGTTTAGACAGCTTCGTGTCTCAATAAATACTGCAACGGTGTGACAATTCTTCGTGACACAGTAAAATATTGTAAAAAAAAAAAAAAAAAAAGAACAATTCATTGAAATGACGTCATAGACTAAGCAGTGGCGTCATGAAAGCGTATCGTCACATCTTTGAAATACTCGTGTGTGTGTTGTTATTGTTGTTGTTGTTGTTTTTTGTTTATTTTTCTTCTGCTAATGAGTTACAGAATCCTTTCATCCCAAGCAAGGGTTTATTTAGCTAGTTGGTTAGTTAGCCAGTAATTCTCAAAGAATAATAAAATGATTTGTAATCAAATTTTGTTAATTGGTTTTCTTTTTTAATCTAAACTCTGAGTGAACGAATGTGTCTCTGTATGAACGAATGTATCTCTGTATGAACAAATGTATCTCTGTATGAACGCAGAGCCGGTCCTAACAATTGCAGGGCCTATGCGAAACGGATTGCGCGCATGCGCAGTCTGGGTAGATAAGAGATAAGATAAGAGAAAAATTTAGATTTTGTATTAGAAAATAAAATTGTCTTTGCATTTTAGTCATTCTTTACTAAGTAAACTATTAAAGTAAATAAAGTATTGGAACTTCCGGTTTAGGTTTAAATTTGCCCTATTATTACATTTTATTAATTGAAAGCTGACAATGCAGTTGTTTTTTTAAATTGCCTGTAGAATTGGCGTTTTCCATCTTGAATGACAGCCCAAAATGGCAGTTTTGTCCACTGTGGACCCATTGGCTGCAGTGGTTTAAGTCCGGCCCTGTATGAACGAACGTGTTTATGTATGGACTAACGTATTTGTACATAAAATCAAATAAATCCTTTTTTTTTCAAAACATAGATATCAATTAAATCAAGCAATAAGTTTATAATATTTGAAATAGACTGGAAACTAGGAGCTTTGTGAGACAAGTGTTAGACTCAAAATATTGAGAAACGTTTTGTCAAACTTTAGAACTATCTCAAATAAAAAGATAAATAAAACTTCAGCGGATACTGAGCGCTTGAAGGCAGCACGGAAAAACCTTCTCCTAGATACCCCCTCCCCTCCTCTGGCCCACAACTGAGAATGAACCAAAGCGCTCTGAGCATGCTATAAGCATGAAAGTAGCGCTATATAAAAGCCATAATTTATAAACAGAAGTTCTGCCAGGTACAGAATTTATCAAGCTCTGAAGATGGGGATGACTGGGTCATGCGGTCAAAACGAGGGCAGAACTGCCACGAGATGGACACCTTACGGTAAAACCTAAAAGTGGAAGCAGTAGTAGAGCTTTAAAACACAGCAATGTTCCCGATAGTTCAAACACTTGACGCCACCAATAATATTGGAAATGACATTATGAGGTATACCAGACAATAAAAAAAATAAAAAAAAAAGATCACGTTTTTACACACACAAAAAAAACTGCTATTATTTACTTGATAGTTTTCTATACGTAGGCAAGACCACACTACAAACAGCGATGCTCTTGCGAACGCCGGTATAGAGGGACTTCTTATAGTACGAAAGTTTCGCTGGGCAGGGCACGAATATATCCACATCTCTCATTAAGTAGCATTTATGTCCTTTATTTTGAAATCAATCAAAATAATAAATTACCAACGATTAATTAACTAATAGTTTTTTGTTTTTTTTATTGATTCAGCTCTTGTCAGGTTAAATGAATAAATGTGCAAAGTTTTAACTTGATTCGAGAATGTGGAATGGGAGGAAAAGCATGTTCAAACTCTTTACCAGACAGACAGTTTTGTAAAAAAAATAGACAATTTTGTTGATTTGTTTTCTAAATCTATTTGCGTGGAGCATGACAACATGCTGGCATCAAAATATCTTATCTTATTAGATCTCTTTAAACCTAAAAAAAAAGCCCACAGGATAATTACATTAAAAAGCAGAGGATTAAAAAAATGATTGGAAAAAAAATGTTTGAAAGAAAGATAATAGAGATTCAAAGTCAATACAAAGATACAGATTCAGTGTAATCAAAACAAGACCGAAGGAGTCCATACAACTATAGTGAAGGGAAATAATTGTCTGTTTAATTTGAGCTACTCAGGAGATTACAATTAATTAATTTCCCAATTTGAGGTTTACAAAACGATGACTCAGTATTTCCCGATGATTTTAGATATATATATATAATTTCAACCTTACTAGGCTTTGGTATCAATTTATAAAAACATTGGAATTCATGCAAAAAAATTCACCATTTTCTATTTCTGGAACCGAAATCGTTCTATGCATGAGTAAAATAAGTAAACTAATTCATGCAAACCTCACAGCCTCTAGAGGTGGGGAGATAATGTAAAGGTCATCTGTTTCTACGGTTAATGAGGCTGTCATGTGGCCAGCACAACGACCAACGCCTTCACTTTCCCCAACTAATAACGGGTATCCAATAGAGTTGGGCGACCTTAAAATCACAAATTAAAAAAAAAAAAAGGATTCACAGAGATTCGAAACAGGGACCAGGCGCTTTAGCACTCGACCACCACCCCTGCCAGCATGGCTCCACCTATATACGAGAAATTAGAAAAAAATTAGGCATTAGGCACGTTCTCAGCTAATGACGTTGGAACAGAAAGAATCCCACTTTTTTAAAAACTGCAAATTGTGTTTCCAATGAACCATCAAAGTAAACTTATTCAAGATAAATCCTGTCAACAACTGAACCAGAAATAAAAGTTTTCCGAATCGCAAAACCAACCAATCAGATCTGTGATTTCTCACGCGCTACTTTCAGGCGACATTGACTTCACACAAAAAAAGACTTCCATTGGTCACGTGACGTCTGACTTTAGTCTATACACAAAACCCGAATCGCATTCTAAATGTCAGTTTGTTCTGCCAACTTAGCACACAAGAAAATATCACGAGTTGGCGGCTTCTATTTGAAGATCATTTGAAAAACACAGGGGTAGGCTGTCATCGACAGCTCGCTGGTGGTAATGTCTTCATCTAAGTGTGGGGGCCGCCGCAGTATTACCTTTGCTGGGGTATCATTATCTCTGCAGCAGACACTATTTCACAATCTTCAAACACTATTTACTTATTAGATTTGTCACGTAGTACAACTTTTAAAGTCTAGGTCGTTACTGTGCGTTGATTTTGTGTTTCTGTAGTCAAGGGAAATAATCCATCATTAAATTAAAATGTATCTACTACGATATGCTTGTGAGTCTTGGACGCTGACTGCAGAGCTAGAGAGGAGGGTCCTAGCAATGGAATTGAGATGCTACAGAAGGATCCTAGGTATCTCATTTAAAGTCCGCATCACAAACCAAGAGATTAGAGACAGGGTTACTGCAGCGATTGGACCTTATGATGATATGCTAACTATTGTAAAATAACGCAAGCTAAAAATCTATGGCCATATCACAAGATCTTCGGTGCTCCAAAAGACTCTCCTTCAGGGAACAGTACCAGAAAAAATAAAGAAGAGGCAAACAGAGAAAGCGATGGGAGGACAACATAACAGAATGGACGGGCCTGCCATTGAAAGTGGTTCTAACTAAGGCAAAAGACAGAGAAGAATGGAGAAAGACATTCGACTAAGAATCTTGTGTGGTGCCCCAACGGTCCAACAAACGAAGGGATAGATAAAGGTAAAAAAAATCTACTTCGATTATCTTTCTTTGATCTATTTTTAAAGATTTTTTGCATTTCAGTAATCTTTAAATCTACCCTCTTCATAAACTATTTCAATGATGAACTCCGCAAGGTCATGACTTCTTATTAGTCAGTAATACTCATATTAGGTCATTATTAATTTAGGTTTCTTCTATAGTCTCGAAAACAATTATTGAACATTCACGAATACATACGCACATACACACAAGTCGAAACCGAGTCGTTATATTAAAGCAGTGTTTCCCAAACTGGTTTCTGCGGAACCCTAGAGTTCCGCGAGGCCTGAATCGAAGTTCCAGGAATTACAGGAATTATGAACTAGTAGGCCAATATGTAAATCAATCTCTCCAAAAAAAAACAAGCTAAATGGTACGCTAAATATTCAGCAAGTGCATAGCGTTCATTTAATGGAGAAAGTTGGAAAACTCTGTATTTGAGAATATTACTTCTGTAAAAATACAGGGTAAATCACATGTGCGAGAGTTCTAGCCGAACAGAATCTTACAATTACAAAATTCCAAGAATAAACAGAAAATCTAATTAAAGATCCAGGACAGCTTATACGCGACCTAATTCGACCTGCAGGCGTTTTTATTTCCAACACTCGTGTCGCGGGCCATATAAACGAAACATTGCAAAAAAAATGAAATTAACCTGAATTTATTTGATTAGAAGCCAGTGGATCTAGTACTTACATTAGATAACGAGGATATCTTAAGTTCTTTTTTTTTAAACGCGCCAGAATATGGCTTCATTTTTCTACTTAAAAAAGTGAACCGCATTGTAGCTAGCTACACCACCGATTCATTTTCTTGTTTATTGTTGGTAAATATTCCCATCGATCCTTCAATCTCTGGGCATAAAGTTTGTTTTATTCGCTGTTCAATTCAAGATTGCCGTCATATATGTTGTATAATGTCCTTTATATGTTTATCATTTTTTTTTTAAGAACTGGTTTGATCATATTGTTAGACAAGACTAGCTGTCTAAACCATCATTCAAGAAACTGAAGTAAAAAAAAATTACAAAGAAAGCTAGACGAACATCTTGAAGTAAAACTGTACTAAGTTGAAGTCGAACTGTACTATTCATTTTAAGCGAAGCATATATATTTATTCAGACAAAATTATGATTTTTTTTTTAGATTCTCGTAGTACAGATTCTCATTCTTTACACACAAAAACAGAGAAGTAAAGAAAAAAAGTTTATTTCAAATAATGCACCCTTGAGACTTTAAACCTTGAACCTTTGGCTCTAAAAGCAAACATTCAACGTAAATACCACTGGAGCGATGTAAAAACTACCAAATGAGTTTATATAAACATATTTTCTTTTAAATAGATAAATTTACAAATTCTTTCTATACTATTTTACAAAATATTACTGAAATATTTCTTCGAAATGCTGAAATTTATCAAAATTAAAACATTTGAGTTGATTTAAAACAGTTTATTCAAAGAAAATATCATGTTTTCTGTAGTTGACATTTAAAATTGAAAAACTACTAATTTTTTATATAAATTAAAAATAGATGACATCCTTTTCCAACAGTTATCCTTCTTAGACGTTGACCTTTCGGTAGATTTTTTTTATAGTACAATGATACAGAGAACTCAATGGACATTTTAATAGCAAAATTTTGCATTTTTCGTCCAAAAAAATTGTTTTTT